TGCTGCGAGTTCCCTCTTCCTCCCAGATGCATCTTGCTGCAATAACCTCCTCGTGGACTATTGAGGTTCCTCCAGCTTTGCTCTACAAGTGGCAGGATGCAACCAGGGACTCAGCCTGGCCCATAAGACTCAGCAGGGAGGAGGAACGAAGTCCCAGAGGAGGTGTTCCACTTACAGCTCCCTTTGTGCTGCAGCAAGGGCTCCCAGGCCAGCAAAGGCAGGCGTCTGTTGGATCCTTGAGGAACCGTGTGGCAGAGAAGGCAGAGACCTGGAAGCCTGTGCTCGTCCTTATGAGCTTGAATTGCAGAAGTGCTCCCAAGCCATGGTAGTCATGGGTACCAGGTATCCTGTCTGACAGAAACATAAGATGAGGTCTTGACCACTTTGCAGTCTCACAGTTGCCTTTTAAAAGTAGCCAAGTGTTGACTAAAATAACCTGGTCATTTCAGCTGGAATACATACTCTTGGTCTCCCTGTGTCCTTCCTATTGCAGCACCCTGTTTGAGGACACAGGGTGGTTGATTCACAGGGACCACAGAACCATCTGTCTGTCCTTTTTATATTAGGACATGATGCTTCATCCTCTTTGGCTATAATATGTTCTTTCAGATCAGCATATAGTGTTGAATACACAGGAGATTTGGTGTCAACTCTTCAGTGCCTTATTCATGTGGCTAATTACCTTTACTCAGCAAAAATAAAATAAATAAAAATTAAGCTTTCTACTTTGAATTTGGCAAGGATTTTCAGACTAAAAATCTGCCAGGACCTCACTGCAGTGACAAGATTTGTGATTTTGTCCTTTTTGCTGTTAGCTTCCCATACGTAACAAATTTGAAATATTTCACCGATCTCGAGCAAATTTGGAAGCAGTTGAAAGTCTCAAGGAAGAAAGTTCCTACAGGATGATGAAAAACTTGACCTGAGTAGAGGAGAGAGACTCAGAGTAGGGAGAGCTCAGACATTGTACTCTCTTTTCAGCAGCACAGACTATTTGCAGCAACTGCCATTTCATGTCTGACACAGGGGTCATAAGGGTCATAAGAGACATTGAGACCAGGGGGAGATTTCTTGTGGTTTTGTTTCCCTCAAGGTCCTCTCCAGAGGGGGGGGGGGGGAAAGTCTGTTGTTCATGGAACATTTTATTATTTTTATAAATTAAATTGGTTTTAACTCTTTAAGCTTTTTCATCAATGGCATTTTCTTCTGCCCTCAAGTCCTCTGTGTCTTTCTTGTCTTTCTTTGTTATCTTCTCCAGATTTTTTTAGCACCTAAAGTATAAGTATCAGGTTGTGGGTAGAAATCTATTTCTGATCTTAACAGTGCCATACTCACATCCTTACTTTCTCTTCTCTTCAAAATCATCTGGCTTATCTTGCTTCAGCTTTGAAATGTGAATGTTTCTTGTCATGAATCCCAGCTCATCTCTGCAGCTGATAATTGTTAATCTAATGCCTACCTTGTTCTGCAGACTGAGGCTGGGTTTCCTATTCATGAAAACATAGGCATACTTGGCACACTGGTATCTCATATGGGGTTGTAAAGATCATTCTGTATGACCACCAAGACCTTCTTAGTTAGCACTGAAACAAGCTTTTAGTCATTTAGTCTCAACTGATAATTATTTTGTATTTACTTCTACTGATGTAAAATACCATGGTATATCTTTTCAACAAAGCACCCTGATACAGAGAGAAGCTTTCTCCCTTTGGGAAGTAAAAAATAAAAATAAATAGGCTGGATCATATACAAGAGATGTCAGTTACATCACTGATGAACTGTTTATATGATAGCACTGCAGACAGAATAATAACCTTTTGGAAGAAATCTCTTCAGTTTCCTCAATCTAGCGATCTTCAGTAATTCTGGAGTGGGAAAGAAGGTGGTGACTTGCCTGAGGTCCTGCATAGAAAATATAGTCATAGCTGTCCTCAGAAATGCAGACTTTACAATCATATAGCTTTACATTTAATTTCATTTTGAATTACATTTCCTTTGTCATGAGAATATTCTTTAAAAACTGTGTAGATAAGAAATCCTCACAGAACAAACTTATATTATTTTTTTCCTTTAAAATCCCTCAAGCTCTGCAGTTCTTATGGGGAACTCAGGCAATCATTTTTAAAGGAAATTCATTATAAAAAATCTTCAACACCTCTTCTTAGGGTATGAGTATTTCATCTTCAGAAGTTTTTATTAAATCCTTGACTGAATTTAAATAATTCAGACAATGAAACTCCATTCAGTATCAGCCCAGCATTTATAGAATCATGCATCCAAAAATCTGGAAGAGATTGAATAAACCATGCCCCAATCTTTAGCATTTGTAAGTCTGTTTGATCAGGCTGTTGAAGGAAACATGAGATTATAAAATTGTTTAGATGTTCAAATCAGTGAAAATTAATTGTGAGGAAATTTTCCTATGCCCATTCACCAAACAAATTCTACCCACAAAATTTGCCCAAGGTATCATTTGAAGCAAGCATTTACGAGTATATTGTTTTAATTAGGAGATGGCAGTTTCAAATACAACTTTTGAATCCAATCCAAGATTTTCAGTGTACACAAAGTATTTCCATAACAGACTTTTAAATATTTGAGCTTCAACTCTGGTTTGATGAGCTGTTCTAGTCTGGGGCTAGTAAACAAGTCTAGAACTTGCTGTATTTCTCCCAGCAGATAAATCATCATCCACTTACTTTTAACCTTGCCTGGATCTGTCAGTCTGTCCTGCAATCTTTATCTCCAGGATAGCAGACAATGCAGCCATTTCGTGTGAACATGGAAGGATTTTCAGTTGTAACAATAACATTAAAGAGAGCTTTTGGGGAAAAATCCTCCTCTTAGCTATAAAAGGGGTCGGCTTCCCTGCAGGTAAATTTTCCCAGCAGTATGCATTGATATATCACTTCTGCCGAATTTTAATAGGGATGGAGTGCCTGGTTTTGCATGTAGTAAAGATGTTTGATCTACATCCAGAACATGGATCTGTTTTTTTAGCTTCCCAACATGCAACAGCTGTACAGGTAAGAGCAAAATAGTGTGTGCCTGGATACAGGGCAGAATGGAAATGCCAGCTTTTTTGATTACGTTGCCAATGGATTTCAGTGGTCAAAAAGATCGTTTCCTCCAGATGGAACATTTTTCCAGTTGCTAAGAGGATATGTGGACATCTGAACATGAAATCATTCCTTGATGTGTTTGGGCTGTAATAATTTGTGCTGTTCAGAGAGAGAGGTTTTTGATTTTTTTTTTTCTACATATTTTTGGTTGTTTTTGCTCATTTTTATACCTTTTTTTTTCCTGTGCTCTTCTCTTGCCTTTATCACCCCAACACATCTTAATATTTTCAACTTAAATTACACTTTGCATTCAATATCACCTTTACTATAAAGAAAAAAAACTCTTTTTAATGCTATAGCATGCTATAGCAGACAAGATGTCTGTTGGTTTTGTCTGTTGGCTCTGTATTTCCCAGGCCTTGCAGATTTTTTATTTCAGAAGGGTCAAAAGAGGTTCTCAGGTGCAGACAACACCAGATGGGTTCATGTGAGCATGGCAAATACATCTTGCATCTTTATCCACAAATGTTTTTGAACAAAAAACTGCTAGGATGCCATTCTAGGAGCCACCAGATCTCTCTCTTTAGTCAGGAGCTTCTGGTCCCTCCTGCTTTTCTTGGCACCCATACCAATACCTGGAGCCTATGCACTATCCCTGTTTCCTTGCTGCGCTTACTGCAGGGAAGGCCAGCTGGTGCATGCTCGCAGCTGGGCTCTTTGAACCTGGGCTTGTTTTATCCCCTGAAGATGTTATGATGATGATCACTCCACCAAAATGCAGATGGGTTTTGACGCACTACAGGCTGGGGAAAAAAAATAAAAGGTCTAATGAGACTGGCCCAATGTCATATGTCTGGAGGTGGGTACCGGAGAGGGAGGGAGTAAGGGAGAGAAGAAGGGGGGTTATCTGAGCTGCAAGAAGAGCTGAGAAACCAAAGCTGAGTCAGAAGTTTCTGGCCGAGCCGCCTCCAAGTTTCACAGACTTTGTTTCTCAGCAGCAGTGGGCAGCAGGGCTGACCTTGTGAGTCGTGAAAAGTCTTGGCTGAGCAGTGAGTCTTGCTGGCTGGACAGAAGGCATTGCTGGTTAGTCTTACTCTGGCTGACAGGATCACTGCTGCACTGACTTCTTGTAGTTGTAGCAAAGTCCTTTCATCCCAGTAAGATTTGCTCTCTGGTGGGCTGGGTTTCTCTTCTTGGTGTTCTCTGTGTGAACGTCAGAAAGGTTTGCCCTTGGTTTTTCATTGCAGTACTGCCAGCCTGGTTGTTACACGGCACTTTTAAAGAGCTATTTAAAATCTCAGCTGACAAAAAAGGAGGGGGGGAAGCCTGTTTCATATTTCCCCACATGAAATATTATGTTTATCCTTCACTAGATAAAAAAAAATAAAAAATCTTTGTTTTAATGTGGGTTGATTCTAGCAGGGGAATTATTTGGATTTCCAAATTTACAAAGCATTCTTCCTGAGTGGTTAACTGTTCCCATATTTGTTAAAAATGGAGGGGAGAGGAAATTACCAAAGACAGTTTTGAAAATTACCCTGGACATTAATGTTTTTTTTTCTGTTTGTTTTTTCTTGTTCTAATTCTAATAAAGATTTCTCAAGTCACACTGCTGTGCCACTCTCTTCTAAATGTCTGCTTTGGAAATAAGAACAATGTTGGGAACAGTTGTATGGTGTTGGTCTGTTTTGAATTACAAAATGTTTTTGTATCATAAAGCTCTGAACCAGGTCTTTACCTCCATCATTAAACATGAAGGGACAGAAATTCAGCTGGCCTAACTTGGCTTAGCTCCATGAATTTCACTGCTGTGGACAAGTTAAAGACTTCACCCTTTGCAATAAGATTCCTCCTTACAAGATTTATTTGGCTTGGTTATGTAAATAATCCCTGAAATACAAAAATAATTGTATTGATTCAGCCTCTGCTAACTCACAGGAGAAATCCAGTGCGAGGCAAGATGCAAAAACCATCAGCGCCCCAGCCGCAGCAGTCTGCAAGGGGCAGGACAGCACTGTACCGCGTGGCTCTGGGATGGCTGTAAGCAAAGTTCAACATCTGCTGAAGGAACGTGCAGGTAATTTAAGCCCAGGGCTCTGTCCCCAGCTCCTGGACACCCCAGTAGTCTGCTGGCTGGGCATGGTGGAGACCCACATGATGATTGCAGTGGTGGTGGTGCCTGGATGCAGCCAAAGCGTGCTGGTGCAGCAGCAGCAGGGTCACGTCTTGCATGGCCCCACACCAAGGCAGCTTGCTCCTAGAAACATTCTGCTAGGAAAATCTACTGATTTATTTATGAGGTTATACCAACCAGCAGTGCGGTGTTGGCTAAAAATAATTTAGGGGCAAGCTTTGCATGCTGGTGGCCGTCACCTTGGCCATCTTGTCAGAGCTGGAGCTCAATTTTGATTCCTGCTCTGCAGCTCTGTATGCTAACGGAGTGCCATAATTTTAGGGGCATGAAAATAGCAGAAGACAAGAGAAGAAGCAATAAGTCCCTGAATACCCAGCTTGACATTTACTCATACCATTAGGACCCTTCAGATATTTCCCCTAAATTTTCTCCTGTAGTTACCCACACAGAAACCTGGGGTTCTTCTCTATACGGTACATTTCCCTTATGGGACCTATTAATTTATTGTTGGCTTCTGCAGGATATATATATTTTTTTTTCCTGTTCTATCATTCTTTGAAACCCAGCCCAGCTGGGTTGCAGTAGCACCAAGAGTCCCAGCAGAGAGCTGTAGAGTAGTCCTGAGAAACTGGGGTCTCTGCTGAATGCCTGGAGATCCTGAAGTGAGTGGACAGATGCTCAGTCTTTATAACAGAAAAGGAGAAGACATGAAAAGTCATTATTTGTGATGTCTGGCAAACCTACTGTGAGGCTCTTTGGAAGGGATGAGGTGGTGGCTGCAGAGGTTGTTATTCCATGAGCTAAACCAAGGAGGCAGGAAGCTCCCATCAAATTGGTTTGTGGTAGAGTCCTCAAAGTGAGTTTCCACCTCATCCTGTCCTTTCCTAGCAAAGAAGAAAAATGTGCATCCTTTTAAGTGGTAATTTGGAAAAAATATAAGCAAAGTCTGTGTAAGCAAGCGCTGCAGAAGTGCTGCCTCTTTTTGGCTTGGGATGACTGTTTTTCTATGCACGGGCTTCTGCGCTGTCAGCAGGAGCAGCACACCCTGCTCAGGATAAAATCCAGCCTGGAGTCAGAAAAAAAGGAAGGCAGTTTAGGAATGTACCCATCAATCTCAATGGCATGGTCATCCTGACGCTTAGTATGGGGATTTTCTGATACGAGCTGTAAATAATTCATGCTCAAAAGTGACTGCATAGGCTGGTAGTTCTAGCCATCAGCCAAGGTCTTCTACTTCTCTATAAATGCAGTCTTTCTCCAAGATACAGAAGTACTCTTTTTTTCACAGTTATATGCTAAAAGCAGATAGAGGATACATTATTTATTTATTTATTTTTTAAAGGTTCATGGAAATAGTTATGTTCCTATATCAGGAAATGAACTATACTGGCATGGTCTGAACCGTGAAGCAGCCATGCTTCTCCCGTGCTCAGGGCAGCGCAGTGGGTGGGTGAAGCCCTTGGACCTGGGGTAAGAGCCCTGAGCAAGGGCTGGGCCAGGCTGGGGACTGACATCAGGAAGGGGATCATTAGGTGACATCTGTAGGAGGCACTGGAGTCTATCTAATTCTACCTCATCATACCTGATTTGCTGCTGCTCTCTTGTGCATGCAGTGGTGTGCTTTTCTGAGGAGTGTAGACTGCAGGCTTTTTACTTCTTGGACTCCAATCTACCTGAGAGCAGCTCAAGCTTCCCTTCTTCAGATCCCAGGTCCTGTTCTCCTACACCTCAAAGCACTGCACGTGTGTGTACAGGGTTGGCGATGGTATTTGCTTCCTTCCAACCTGGAAAGTGCAGAAACTTGTGGAATTACAACGGCTGAAAGAAGGAAACTAGGGCAGCACTGACACTGATGGGTATTCCTGTGAGCAAGCCTCATGGCTGCTCCCTTACTAACTGTACCTGGCAGCGCTTGGACAGCTTTGCTTTCAAATTGCACGTTTGAGATTAACAGAAACTGTGTAAGTGCTCTGTGCAAGTCTAAAGCACCGTACCATATGGTGTGTGACAGGATTTAGAACTCAAGAGCTGCTTACTTTGTTCCTGAGATACTTTTAAATTGGTGCATTGGTTTTCTTTTTGCATTTCACTGTTAGTTTTTTTTTAGAACACAACCCAAATATGGAATCCATTGACTAGATAAGCCAGAATCTGTTTGCAGTTGATGGAAGGAGCTAGTTGAAAGGACTGGATTTTCTTCCTTTCATTACCAAGCTCTTTCAGATAAGGCAGTATCTTCTTAAGAGCTCTTTAAGTAAATAACCAAATAAGACATTTTAAAGCAAGGACTTCATAGAAAATCTTGAGAGAGGCTTGTTCTCTTTCCTTTCAATTAACCCTGTAGTGTTCACCACAAAAGTAACCTGGTTTGATGTAACTCTTGGAGAACAAGGCACAGATGTGCAAGCACAGCCACTTCTCTCACGTATGTATGTGCAAATCCACAATTGCACAGGGAGTCTGCAGGCAAAATCAGGCTGTTATGACAGTATAGGAGCACAGGTTTTTGGTCAGAGGACTTTCCATTTTTGATTCTTCTGTAGTTTGGGGAACTAGCCTCATGGCTTATTTATATGAGGGACTTCAGTAAAGAGCTCACAAAATTAATTCAGATAATTTACTGCCTTGTTCTGCAGAACAAATGGACTCAATGGATTTTTATTTTAGCTCAAGCTCTTTTTCAAGTCTGACCAAATAGTTTGGGAATGTCGACTTCTACATACAAAATGTTGGTTGTGACCAATTAGAAGTGCATAATACTTTTTCTGTTCTTATTTTGGATGAACTTACTACAAGGCAAGGGCAGTTTTGTAGGTCTCTGAATGTCTGGTTGTCAGCATATATTAATTTGTAGTTTTCTCACATCACCATGACCATGGAAACATGGACTAAGTCTAGTTTGCACATTTCTTTTACCAACGTGAAGAAGAACTCTATTGAAGATGCAGCTCTGAGGTCCTTATGTTAGCTTGGCTTCTTTTCCTTCTCCACACAGGGGTAAGTTTTACTGCTAAAAGTTTTAATAACTGTTGTGCCTAAAATCTTTCAAGAGTTCTCCCTAACGGTCCCTACAGCCTGGCACCCCGTGTCCAGAAATGGGTCGTAACAAAAGGCATTGGAGGGGGTAAAACTATGTGCATAGAGTACCACAAGGCACCTTCAAGAACCTCTTCAGGTTTGGGAATTCTGAGCCACAAGCTCCATATAAGCTGTTACCTTTAGGATCTACAGAAGACTAAAACTCTATGGTTCTGATTAGTTATTTTATTGCTCACGGTGGGTTTTGGACCTTTTGGAGTGGTTAGAAATGTATTTCCTTGTGTTGAATTTAAGCCTTGCTGCTTGGTAACATGATTGATTGATACCTATTTCCTCTGTGTTAAAGAAAAGGGAATAATCATCCCCTGTTCATTTTCCCTATGCCTTTCATGCTTTGATAAACCTTCATTATATCTCCTGTGTTGTCCTGGTATCTCTTGTAGCCTTCAGGAAAAAAAAATAATTTAAATCTTAATATATTCATAGACAAATGCAGTGAAAGAACATTTTCTTCTTTAAATAATTTTTAATATTTCATACTGCCTCTGCAGAGCTCTGTCTTGACATTTTCTCCATGATCCCATCTTTTTTTTTTTTTTTTTTTTCTTTCTAAGAAGTGATGGCTACTTTAGAGCTTGTTACAGGCACAGTTAGGGTAATTTTCTCCCTCTGATTTTCTCTGATCTTTTTTCCTGTTGATTTTTGTGAATTTTCTGTCAACAGTTTAATAAATGTGTTTGAGAAGTTCATGATCTTCATTAAGAAGTTCTTGGTCCACAGACTGTTACAACTTTATGAGCAAAGATAAAATATAGAACATGTGTTGGATTAATTATGCAAACTACCCAATCGAGCTACAAATTGGCACATAATTTAGGACTGACTCAAGCACAATAGATTGCTAGTTGCATAATTTATGATGCTAGTGGAATTGTTTAATGCAGCTACTAACCACAAAGGGAACATAGAGTTTAAACTATCTTCTGACAAATCTGTGTCCACCTGAGAGAAATATGGTCTTTAAACAGCACTAAAGAAACAGGACCTGGAATATTTGAATGTGTGTAGAGAGAAATCTCATGGGGCATAGCTGTGTTGCTGAGCCACTGATTAGCTCCAAGTGCATAATGTGGGGGAAAAGAAATCAGCTCCTAGCTTTTAGCAGTATTACATTTTTTTTCTCCCTATTTACGCACAGCAGTTTGAGCCCTAAATACAAAGTAATTTAAATGAATATTGACTATTGAACTGTGGGTTTTTACATGTAGTTCTGCATAGACAGAAGCAGTCACTAGGCTGAGGAGAAGCTGCACGCTTCACTGCCACCAGGTTAATCTGTGCCACTCACCGTGCATGTGCAAGAATTCCCCAGGCTTTGTTGCAAAAGTTATTGCAGTGACCTTGCAAGTAGCCAATTAACTCTATTTAAATACTTACTAATGGGCAGAGAACAAGCATAGTGCAAACTAACGCTAAATCTTCAAATGCTGTTTTGCCAATAATTAGGCTCAGGGCTCCAAGCACTGACCTGCTGTTACAGTTTGCCTGAAAGCCCTGACATTTTTTTCCCTGACAAAGGTGCTATTGAATGTGGGGCTGTCATGGCAGAGCTGCAGTTGCATTCATTGACAGTATGCCCGGGGGTAAGAGACTTGAATATATACAAGGTGTAGAAAATACTTAATTTACTTGTTAAATCAGTTCCCTATGCTGTTTCACATCAGCACAATTCTTTGCCAGCTGCTACCGTAGATCCTGCTAAAGCTTCAGGAAAATGGTTTTGTTTTGCTCCTGTTTTTACAGGTTGAATGTTAATCTTTGGCATGTTTCAGAGAGTTCAGATAGAGATCCCTGGAAATGAGCAGGAAGGAGCCTGTGTGAGCTGACCTGAGCTAGCAGGTGAGCACAAGCTGCTCTTCTTCATCTTCTGTGTGTGGAAAAAACCCAATGCTGCTTCCATTTATATGTCTAACACCAGACCTAGGGGGAGAAAAAAAAAAAAGGTAAAGCATTTTTAATCTTCCTTGGATAGGAGGTGTGTGCTGAGGCTTTCTGGTTCAATATATCACAGTAGGGGCTGGCTGTGTGTAACACATCTTTTTAAAGTTGTATGACCTGCTTTTCTGGATGCCTATTTTGCTTTGCTTCTATGACGAGTGAAGGGCAAACTTCCCTTAACATGTGAAACCATCCCAAAATAGAGACACATTCATCTTCAAAGCCAATACAGAGAGAGTTGACAGTTAGTCCATACGTGCATACAGCAATAAAAAGCCTAAGAACAGAGACAAGAGGCTTAGACACAGTCGTGGTTGAGTTATTATTAGTTAAAGATTCCAAAATTTGGCTTAGAAATCTGTGCACAACCAGCTTTCTGCATTTGTGGGCAAGTCGTGTACTTTCCATGTAGCAAGTTCCTTCTTTGTAGAGAAAGGCTTTAATTTGCTTCATTTTCTATGCTTTTACTGTGTGTCTTCACATTGTTTGCATACAGTGACTGCTTAGGATAAATACATTTTTATGTCAACACAAGACTTATGCTTAATTATATAAAATCTAGTTGCCTAGACTGTGAGAAGCTTTCAGGAAATACATTGAGATATCAGAACAGAAAAAATAAATACCTGTAAATTCTCAAATTGCCCATCATTTCCAGCTGTTTCTTGTTTTATATCTATGTAACCATTTTACTTGTTAGGTAGCCCAAAAGAAGTGGACAAGAATAATTTTCTCATCCTTGGTATTTACAGTCAGTCAGTAACATGTTTGTCTTTCAGCATCTGAAACCAAGCCCTTTCAAACAGATAATATCAAAGTTGCTCAGACATTACTGCTAGGCATTGAACCATGGGAGCTGGACTCTCATTTTTAAAACCTTCACATTTTGGGGCCAGCATTGCCACTATGGACAGGCAAAGCTGGGAGCAGCATGCTCTTTGTCCGTCTTTAGAACTAAATGACCAGGAGGGAAACCTGCTTTCAAAAGCAAAAATTAGTGGAAATGAAAACTTTTTTTGCCTCAGAGTGTGTTAACTGTTTCCCAAGTCATTGTTTCAAACCTGTTCAGACTCACTTAGCTCGGATTCACCTACTTGAGCTCATTGTAAAGATAGCAGCTGTCTTTATTTAGCTTAAATTTAGTTGTGGATCCAAGCTATCCTGAATAGTGTTTGCAAGGTTGGATCAACCGTTCTTCTGTAACCTAATCCTCACCCTGTGCTTCAGGAGAGCAACACATCAAACACACCACCAGGGTGGCCTCATCTGCTTATTACCAATTAAATACCCCTGACGTCTATTGAAAGAGTTACTATGATTTTTTAATTATTTTTTTCCCCTAAAAGACTGGATCGGAAGAAAAAAAAAAACAACACAGGGGAACATTTCACAAAAGCAATGCTCCATCCATGTGTTTGCATTTACTAACAAAAATAACATTTATGATGACAGTGACATAGATCCAATTGCACAGCTTGGAAAATAGTTTACAAATAAATGTTTGGTTTTGTTTAAAAAAAAAAAAAGAAGTTAGATTTCTGTTCAAGCTATTGTTCTAGGAAACTTTAAGAATAAATTAAAACTATTAGACACTTTCCCTTGTCTTTCAGTTTGTTAGCATCATCTGAGAGGAACTTCAGCAGTCATTGTTTCTGAAAACTAAAAAAGAAAGATAAAACATATTTGAAAATATTAAGGTACCTTTTTTGCTGGTTGAAAATTAACATTTATTTTAATTGAACTGTGATTAAAATTAATTACAATCTAATTAAAATTCATTAACTCAGGTAATTAAAATCTTGATTATATGCATCAATACTTTACATGAAAAATTAAAGACAAACGTGGTATTACGAAGAGAGAACTCAGTCCCGATGGTGTGTTTAAACAGTTCCACCAGTGCATATGCAGACATTCGGTCAGATCTAGCAGTAGCCTATTGTGCTGACACAGAGCCCTCAGGTGTCTTGCTGTTGTGAATTGTCTCATTTTCAGCTGTTTTCCTGTCTGGGAGCATGTTCTGCAATGTCAGAGTAGCTTGCTGGGCCCGATCCATTCCCCCTCTACAGAGCTGCTTTTCCAGAGGGAAGGCGATCAGCTTGGGTGGCCATGGGTGAGAAGGAAGAAGAGAAAAAGGAGACATAAGCTATGTGAACAAAGACAATAAATGAGAGATAGTATGTTTTAGACGAGTGTGCATTAAGGTGGAAAAGAAATGGATGTATCCAACGGGCAGAAAGAAGCAGGGATGGATGATCATGTCCCACAGAGAGCCCCACGTGTCCCAGATAGCCACCTCGTGTAGTGCAGAGGATGGTCTGCCCCTCTGCAGCTGTGGGGTCGGGTTGATTCAGGAGCGGCCCTGTTAGGCTCCAGGGCAAGCTACAGCCAGCTGTGCTCCGCCTGGGAGAGGAGCACTGCGACATGATGTAAGGGCCCTGCGGGCGAGCGCGGTAACCAGCAAACACGGGAGATTCCTCAGGGCTCCTGTTGTTGACAGGTCTAGCTACAGCATAAGGGAATGCGTTGTTATTCCAGGAAGCCTTAATGATTTTAGCAGTTGGCTTCCAAGGAACCTGTTTTTTTTTTTTTTCTTTCTTTTTTTTTCTTTTTTCTGCATAATAATTGCAGCTTTCCTGGGATGTTATGAATACATTAGATATACTTTGATAAATTGTTTAAGGTTTGATTTGAGCTGTCTTTCTTTTTACTCTAGTGTGATCCATTGCTTAATTCCAGATATTTCGCTTTCCCATAGCAATTAGAAGATTTTTGTGTAGCATCTGTGTAATCTTATACAAGTACCTAAGAGCCAGACTGCTAAGTCTGCTCCATTTCCTCTAAACAAAGGTTTCTTCCTGTGGAGAAAGGAACTGCTTTTGCTTTCACTGTGGATGAGGAAGGTGGGGGAAAGTACACATCAACATGTATATATCCCATATACACATAATGCTATATAAAATGTGTGTTCGTGAATATATGATAAAAGAACATGTGTATATTGACAGATATTTGAAGTCTGGGTATAAATTTTGTTTTCCTTCATGTGTCTTTGTGGTGTGTAGTATGTGTCTGCGGTAGATACAGTCATAGAGTTGGCCCAGCCTGTACTTCATGCTGTTGTCACACTGATGTTTTCTCAGCATTTCTTGAAAACGTTCCAGACTAGCTCTGAAATTCGGGGAAATTCATTATGGTAGATTTCTCTTAGTGTTAGCATTTTAGGTCCCAAATAAACCTCAGCAGCATGTTCCTGAACATCGGGAAACACTTGGACTGTGTGGGTGACAGAGCCCTGGCACAGGCAGCCCAGAGAAGCTGTGGAGTGTTCTTCTTGGAGATCTTCAGCAGCCGCCCAGACGTGATCCTGGGCAGCCAGCTCTGGGTGGCCCTGCTGGAGCAGGGGTGGGACAGGTGGGCTCCAGAGGGTCCTGCCAGCCTCAGCCGTGCTGTGGTTCTGTGATTCTGTTCCCAATCAGAGCTGTTTTCGGCCTGCTCCTGTTTAGAAAGACTTAATGAACTCCTACTTTTCAAGCACATCTGTCATTCCCATAAAAAGCACTAAGTAAAGGAATGAAAATTGTTTTCTAGGAAGAGTTGAATCCTCAAAATACTTCTGTCTGTTGCTATATCTCCTGTGCTGTTGCTGCCTGGGTTTGATTTGCTTAGGACTAATGGCAGGCCTTCCAACACTATGATTATTCATGTGGAAGTCGCTGCTGCTTTCAGTCTAGCAGAGCTGTGCCGGGCAATTCCTAGGGCCTGGTGTAAGCTCCTGCCTACTAACTTTTTAATTATCTTAGCGAGGCATGCCGTGCATTTAATCTAGCTCAGCCATCCGCTTGGATGACTCACAAAGTTGAATTTGCTGAATTGGAAAGGAATGCGAAGCACCCAGATGACATTGGCACTGCACAGTGCTAGGGGAAGAGCTCCAGTGCAACAGGAAACCAGTCCATCTGGTGCTTTTCATCTTGGTCTGCAAATAATCTCCATGGTCTCGCTGCCTGTGCCTGCTCGTATGAACCTGCAACCCTCAAACCCCTATCCAGGCTGTCTCAGTGCGGTCCTGCCATGTTGAGGCCTACACATAAAGCTTTGCAGAGCAAGTGGCAATGGCCTGATGCAAATCAGAAAGAGCCATGCTGCCCCGTGGCAGATCAAGCCAAAGGTCTGCTTCCCCCATGTACAAGAAAAAGTAAGCAACAACGGGCTGGCAATATTTGCCTCAGCCCAGTGTTGTGCAGCCTGTTATTTGTAGGCCCTGGCTGATCCATGGGACAACGGAATATGATAACTGATGTGATGGCACCAAAACAACCTACCCTCTGGTTACGGCAATGGGAACACAGCTTTGACATGGACACTGCCAGCCAGGAAAGTGTGCAATTAATAATTAAAAGAACAGTTTTGCAAACCCGCCATTTTACTTCTTTAGTGATAAGGACACTGTTTCTCTCCTGTTCTGCTAGCCCATGAACAACATGGGATACAAGAATGACATTGGCCTCTCTTCCCATCCCCAGTGTTGGGTTGTCTTTGATTTTGAAATGGCCGAGAAACACTGCTTTAAGCACTCAGCCAGCTAACAGGGAGTGATCCTGCTGGAAATGTGACGCACAATCGGGTTTTGAAAATATACTGTCTGAGAGCTGGTTGTGACCAGCTGATAAATGCAAGAGAGCATTAGCGTGTGCTGTTTTTAAGTAGTGTTTAATCAAAACAGGCTTGCTAACACTTTTGGATTCATGGCCGTGGCAAAGGTTGATAGAGGTGGCCGACTGTTACGGAGAGCCATTCCCCGCTATCGTTAGCAGTGCTGCTTTTAGCAGTGCTCGCATAAATCCCATTTCCCCTGTGCAGTGTCTAGTCAGCTGGTGATGTTTCAAAGGAGAGCACAAATCTTCTGGCAGGTGTGGGGCAGCAGTGGGGGACCACAGGGAGAGCTGGGGCTGGAAAGGGCTCCTCTCCTCGGGTCAGCACCAGGGCTGCTCTGCAGCTGGAAAAATGCGAGGGTAAGTCCAAGTCAGAGAGAGCTAAGAGGGATTCTGTTTTCCAGCTTTTTCTAACCAAAACCCCAAGTATTTCTACTTGGAGAACTTTAAAGAAAAAGAGAGGAAGAGGTATATGTGTGTGTGCTCTTCGGTGAGTGGTGAAGCAGCTAAGGGACTTGCCCAGGTCTCCTGTCTCTACCTCACTCAAGGAGGAGGCAGTTGGGAGGCCCTCAGTCTCTCCTCTTGAAGTTGTTCCACTTTGTATAAACAATTAACATTTACTAGAAGAGGGGCTGGTGCTCAGGAAGTCTCATCTCTCAGATGAAGACCCGCCAGGCTACTGATTCATACACACACGTGTGCTCTCTCTCAATGAATAGTTAATGTTTTATTAAAAGTGGAATGGGTCCAAGGGGATGATTCAAATCTCCTCCCTGGATCCAATGCTTGGCTTTCAGCAAATATGCTTTTTGTTCCATCAGAAATGTCATTGCTTTTACACAGCTCCTTCTTCTTCCCCTCATTTAAATGCCCTTCTTTGTTCCAGTTGATTTTTGTTTTGTTACTGGCCCAGACCCTGCCCTCTTCTTTGCTCCTTGACCCCGTGAGCAGAAGATCTATGGCTCCATTATATTTGAGATCAGCTGAATCAGTGAAAGGGCAGAAGGTATGTTTTCTTCTGAACTGAGCTGGGGAGGGCTACGTTGCTCCCATCTCCACGCCACCTCTCAGAGTATTCAGGGCAGACTCACACTCACCAAGTCTGCTGTCACTTAGCACTTCCCAGAAGCCTGTTTTGGAAATCAGAAGCTGCAGGGTGCCTTCATCCCTTGACAGGACAATCTTTAATCACCACCTTCTGCCTCTCTCAGGGTGGCTTCACAGCTGGAGATAGCAGTTCCACAGAGAGAAGCACAAGCTGAAGACAAGCAAAGAACCTCTTCCCTGTGGAATATAACCCCAGCCTAAACCTGAACCTAACCTGCCCTCAGGACAGGAGGGGCTTGCAAACGCTGAATGCAAGACATTAGGGATTTCGGACTACTTTTTGTGACTGTAAGTTCTAATTCAGGCGGTAAGGCTTCAACCTGAGGTTTTGAGCATGTTTCTCTGCCCACGTAGTGCAATAAATATGCATGCTGTTGCATAGCATGCCTGAATCTCCTGGGGTGGAGGTGGATGGAGAAAGTGGACCCAGTGCTGAAAGAGCTGAAGAAGATGTGATTGCTCCTGCCTTGGCTGTTGGCTAGACTAGTTGGGTCAGCCACAACCTGGAGGACAATCAGTGGCCACCCTTGGCTGATAGTAAGATCAGTGGCTAAGCAGTGCTTATAGGACTGGTCAATGACTGAAATTCAGATGCAGCCATAAAGGTCATTCATTAAGCCTCTGCTTTTATTCACTCACTTTTTATTTCAGCCAACATATTCCCTTCTAGCCAGCCTCTCTGACCCTGGAGAGCTCTCATCTGCTTTACTTCCACGTGGTGATAGGAGAGCTGCGTAAAACAATTGTAAAAACACCCACATTAACTGGCTCCTTGTCTAACCAAGCCCCATCTGTTGCAACCCCTAGTGATCGCACTGCTACCCTAGAGTCATTAAACCATTCCATATGGGAAGCCTTGCCATGTACATAACCTTGCCCACAACAAAGCCTAGTGAAGGAACTGTGATGTTAGGAAAAACAATACAAATCAAGACAACGGTTAACATATTGGGAGAACATGTAAGCAGCCTGCCAGTTGTAAATTGTAAATTCCAGTTGCCCACCGTGTGGCGGGGAGAGAGGAATGTGAGCAATGCCAGCACACATGCTCACATCCCAGACCATTTGCACCAACTGCTTTGACTCCTCTCGGTGCAATGGTGTTTGTATGTTACCTGCTGTTCTTTGTGTGCTGCAAGTTGGTTTTCACGATTCCAAATAATGTAAGTCTGTACATTTCTTATATAGCTTAACAAACCTGCAAACCCAGGGTGCCTGCAGCCTCCTTTGCATGGCTTTGCAAATTGATTTCAAGTCTAGACTTCATATGGGTCATCTTTTTTTTTCTTTTTATTCTTTTTTAAGAGCGCAGTCATTAGCTCCTTAAAGTGCTTTCTCTGTTTTGTTGTTGTTTCCCCACACGTACACACTGTCTGAACTCTGCGTCTTGGCTCCCTGAATAAAATCCCTCTTGCAAGAAAAGCTCTAACACACCCTACTACATTTCCCGTTATTACATATGGCTTTCTTTTATCCCATGTAGCATTTGAACTAACTTGGGCGGTGCAAAAAAAATAGTTCAGGTAACTCTATCCAAGCTGGTTTAGGCTAACTTTTGCCATGGTAGGGTGAAAAAAAAAAAAAAAAAAGTAATTACATTGAGATTTAGTGCTTGGTTAAGGGGCAGGATCTCACAGGAAATGCAGTAAGAAGGAAAAGTCATTTCACTTTTGAAAACCATAGCCAATGTTCCCTCCAAACCTCACTGGCTGCCATTTGCTTTCTGTTTTGCCAATGTTTTTATTAGTTACTTTGTAAAGGCGCCAAAGACACGAAAGAACCTGGATTTTTTATTTTATCTCTTTTTTATTCCAAGTGTGATTTAAGTCTCTCCTAGGTGTGATGGCTGTGTAAAGATTATTCTGTATGAAAAGCCAAGCAATGCCACCTCAAAGTCTGCTTTGGGATAGGGAAATCATAGCCTAGTAGCTCCCAGCTAAGGAAACAGATGTCAAAGCTATATCACCCTCATCAGAAAGGTTACACTTAGTCTCTCTGAGGGAGCATGGACAAGCAACCAAGCTGAAAGTAGCTGTTCTGGTGTAAATCTGTGTCATGCCACCTTGCTGGCACCATGCTAAACACAGCCCATGTGCGGTTTCTGCAGATCTGGTTCCTAACACTGCTTGGCTGCCTTGAAAATGTGCTCGGAGTGGAGGTGCACAGCTTGTCTTCTGCTGGCCTCCTAGCATGTGTCTGCTTGGGATACAGCTGGTGGTCCTGTGAATGAAATGATGAGTAGACATCAGGTCCCTTTCTAGACTCATCCTATCTTTTCCTAATATCTCATCTCCTGTGTAGCCTACTATATCCAGGCAAACTGAAACAATTCTGCAACCAGCAAAGTGTGTAAACTTTCCTATTTTCATTAAAGGCTTAGAAAGTAACTAAAAGAAAATAATAATAAAACTGGAGAAATGTTCTGGTAAGCTGACATTTTCCATGTGCAGACTGAATACAAGACTTCCCCTTCAGTAACTGAAATGTGGTCAGACAGATTAGCTGTGACTCCTTCAGGCTCTCCACTGATGGCGTGAACTGGGGGTTGGAGAGGAGGATGCCCTCTGCACCAGCTCAGGTGGCTATGGTGGATGTAGAATCTGCAGCTGCTTGCAGGATGCTTCCTTGTCCCAAAAATCTCTTCTGGATTTTCTCAATTTAGAGGCTTTTCAAGTCGCAGACACTTTAGGGCTTTTTTTTCGGCAGAAAGCTGAAAGAAACATCATTTGCGGTCTTTCCGCTCTTAAGATTTTTTCCATGTTTTTCCAGATCTGGGCGGCTCTTGGCATTTTCTTTCTTGTTGTAACTGTCACACTTAAACTCCTTTTTTATCTTTGTTAATGACTACGTTTTTATGAGCCTGTGGGACATGTTCCATGAGCACTTTACTTTTCCTTCTGAACGTGTGGTAGCTTGGTTTCAACAGACTGTCTGTGGCAAGCCAAGATATTCTGAAGTGGATTTTTCCTGTGTTTCATGACAGCAGCGAACAGGCAAATCAAAAAGGCTGGGCTTGAAGCAAATCAGACACTTTTTAGAGGAAAAGATTCTCACTTAATTAACTTTATCCTCTGAAGCAAGGAAATGAGAGAGAAGTTTTGTCAATTGTATTATGCCTGGCAGACAAAGGAAATTCTGGTCCTTGCTGCAGTCCTTATTCTGTGTATTTACTTCTGCAGAAAGGAGAGGTCTGTCCATGTCCTGTACCAACTGTGGGATGAGCAGCCTCTGTACAGCTGAAGATTTGGTTTGGGGTTTTCTCTCCAATACCTAAAAGAGATGTCTAGAACAATCTGAGGCATCATTGACTTTGGGGCCAGCTGTATGACTGCAACTCCTGCCTGTGTATCTGCTACTACATGAATACAATCCACGAAACTGCAGAGCTGTCCCCATCTCTCCAGGAAGCAAGCAGCAGCCTCTGGCCCTGCTTCAACCAAGATGAGATCAAAGTTCCACCAGCTGGATGAGAGGAAGGGTGACAGGATCGTTGCTGACCCTCTCCATTCTTAGGGAAGCTTCTTCTCATCTCCTGTTGGAGTAACGCTGGCCAGTGGTCCTGTTTCAGCAGCTCCAGGACCTCATCCAGAGTGTGGGACCTCTTCCTCAGACCACAGCTGCAGGGAGGGAGGAAGCGTAGGTTGAGCAAGAGCTAGGGACAGTCATTGTTTAGTTAAACTGGGCTGCTACGCACATCACAACAGAACAGATCTTCCTGTAACCAGAGAGAGAAGGACAAACATGAACCCAAAATGATTATTGTAGCAATCACCACACAGGTAAAGAGTGCCTGGTAAGCTGTCATTCTGGTAGTCAGATCAGCCAAAACACAGCCTGTTACTGTCTTGAGCTAGCATTTGAGTTAGAAAACTGTTTAATTTTGTATTCTTGTTTTTATTTTTTTGTTTGGAATCTCAAAGGGACTATCTTAAACAGGATTTTGGCAATAGTGATGATAAAATGACAGAAATATTTAATCTCCACTCGAATTGCCTCTTTTTGACATTGAACTAGCACTCTGTGAAAAAGTGATTTATAAACAGTGGACAAAGGAAGATGAAATAAACACAGACAGAAAAAAAAACACTACAAAGTGCAAAGTAGTTACAGGACCAAGTTTGCCCTTTAAAAATGAAAACCAAACCAACAAACAAAACCCCCCTTAAAAAAAAAAAAAAAAAGGCAAGAATACTTTGTTGTGTTTTTAAGATGTGAGTCTCAATAGTTTCTGAAATGATGTTTCAATTATCTATGATTTATTTTCTGCTGTTACGCACTTTCCTTTTCCATGATTGTTGTGCTATATCCTCTAATTGCATTCTAATGATATTTTAGCCCGCGTTTTGAGCCTGCATCTCTGTTGCCACCTCCCACCCGTGGCGTGAAGGACAGTGCGAGTCCACGCAGCGTGTTCTGGTTGGACACTGAGATCTTTTCTCAGTAAGTAATGCTGGCCTTGAGAAGGGTATTTGTGAAATGAAGTTTAAGAGAGCAGTTTTCATTCATAAGGCCATTACGTCTTTTAAAGAAGGCATTTACAGGCATTTTTCCCCTTGTTTCCTATCAACATTTTTTACATGAAGAAGCTAAATGGGTTTGCTGCCCACCACTCTCCTCTCAAAACCCTCATAAATGAGCAGGAACAGGCATTGTAGTTCCAGCTGGCCAGTAAATGGAGTGTGAAAAGAAGTTTTACCTTTCTATTTTAAAACAGAACAGAGCTTTAAATTGCCATACACAGAAAGATTACAGGCATTAAGAGAGTAAAATAACATATATTCTGTGTAGCAGATGGCGGGAGATGAATATTTCAGTCTTTCACAGTTTTTGATCCATTTTCCTCAAGTGTTTCATATCGCTCCGCTGAGATACCTTAATTGCTATAGGATACCCTCTCTCAGCAAAGATTTCCAAGAGTATTGCCAGTTTGCAATATAGGGAAAGACAATGCTTAAGCAAAGTGACAACAACATCCTTATAACAAAACCCATCTTTTCATTTTATGACTTTTTGTAGAGGAATCTAATTATACTCCATGAAATAAATAAAATTATGGTAACGTGAGACAATTCTGAAATTAGATAGTCTTGGGCTTGAGAAATGCTACAGGTTCGTGTTGTGTGACCATGATTATCAACTGAAAATGCTTGCTGGTTCAAGTTACGTGGAGATAGTCCAAGCTGAGTGAGTGAAAAGACAAGGGAGGGTGTTGGGGAGTGGGAAATGAGAGTACCCACCTCTGTGTGTGTAAGGTCAGGAGCTTCTCCCTCCAATCCCTGCTGAAAAGCCACTGGTAGGCTTATAGTAATACCAGGGGCACAAAGAACCTCATTGTTGCATGTGTTTAATAAGATAAAGGAAAGAAAAAATAATAATTTAGGAATGACCTAAATTTATGCCATGGTTTCAGTGGAGCTCTCCTTTTTTTTTTTTCTTTTTTTTTGTTCTTCTGTAAAATGTTCTTGAACTGCTGTAATATTCAGCCTTAATTTTCTCCACAGATACAGTAAAGAAACTCAGAAATACGTAGGGTAAACTACTCCTTCTGCATATGAAAGATTGTCAGATTTCTGCAGTCACCTTTCCAACATCAGTGTTGAAACAGGTAGCTGCTGCTTCAGATGTGGCTAAATGAGGATAGGAGGAGATAATCTTGTTTTATGGAAACCCTCACAAGCTCCTGGAATAGAAAAAAGAAAAAAAAAAAGGGCCTCTTTAGGATGAGTAGTCCAGAGCTTTTCTGCTTGTACTGAGAAGAAAGCACTGTAAACATTTGATGTGCAGATCTCTCACTTGATGATTTTATGGAGGACAGTTCTGGCCAAGAGCCAAGCCAATTCTCATTGTGATCACTGCAAAGTGTTGGGCAGGCCCTAAATTAAAGTGGAACAAACTGGAATTTATTTTTCAGGAAAAAAAAGAAAAGAAAAGAAAAAAAGAAATAAAAAGCAAACAAAGTAACCAAACAAACAATCAAAACCAGAAATGCCCACAAAAACTCAGCAATTCCATCACATCAGGTATCTATTTGCTCTCAGTCCTGGAGAGAAACCTCTCTAATGCCACCAGGAATTCAATACACCCATAAGGCAACTACTTAGTCATGGTGCAAAAAGGACTTAGAGGAGAGAGGTACCAGGCATGCGTGTGTGTGGCAGTAAAGGAAACTGAACAATCTGGAGCCTGCTGCTGCCAATAAAGCCCTGCAATTCAGACTCCTCTGTCCTTTTAGGGTTTTGCAGGCTGTAAAGGGAGCTGCTCACTAGCTCTCCATCTGGAGAGAGGATGCTGCTGTAGCAGCTTTTACTTGGAGGTTGCACGTTGCAAGGGGAGACAGAAGCCTGCAGCATGAAATTATCAGATACCCAAACTGAACCTGTAAAATATACAATTTCCTGAAACATAAAGCTAATTAAACAGAAACTTCTCAGCTGCTCTATGATTCTTCATTTCACATTGAAGTGTTACTAGTCATGATGATTATCTTTCATATCTCTAACTTCCCTATAAATCTGGTGCCACTACAAATCACAGATTGGCATTATTTATCATAACGCAGGTTCAACAGTCCTCCTAACCTGGTTCATAATCAATTTTTCTAAAGTCTTTTTAAATATTAGGGATAAATTTGTCTTATTCACTCATTGCATCTTTGCCATCTTCCTCAATGTAAGTGTTCCTTTTATATTGCCTACACTTCTGGTTTCACAGGAGATTACATTTTCACAGGAGATTACATTTTCACAGGAGGTTAGGTTTCCACCTCCCTCCCAGGTGTGCATTTTGCTTGATATGTACAAGAGCACAGCTTTTCAGTGCACAATGCTTAAACGTGTGCAAAAACAACTTTTGCTGTAAAACCAAGCCCACAATACTTAGCACAAGTGTGCCATTTCCTCCTTTCAGGCCATGATATGAACATGGTCTTTCATAGGCTACAATTGGAAACCTTTGGGAGTTTCAATAGAAGAAATTTTTATGAAGGTACATGTACATTGCAGGTGGCACTGCGGTACCACAGGGAATTTACTCTTTTCATCTCCCTCAACTCTTCTAGTCCATGTGCAAAGGCCAGGCAAGGTTATTCCCTGGCATAACCCTGAACAGGAAGAAAGACACCTGATTAATGCATGTGTGCATGCAGGACTCCATGGAGATGTGCCTGGTTAGCAATCATACTGCTGTCAGTAAGGAGCCTTCCAGAGGACAGATGCACAGCCATGCTCAAGCACACCACACACCAAGCCTGAGGACATCCCTGTGGCACTCAGCCCTAAGGCAGGCGTGCGAACGGCACCTGTCTTGCTTTCCATGCTATCGTTTCGTTATGGAACCAGAACAAAGCATTGTTCATGAATGTGAGTGTTTTGGTTATTAGAGCACTTGTTTTTGCAGCCAGGAAGGCATCCACGTGCAGAACTAGGAGAGCTCGCTCCCATTGTAGGCAGCACATAAGGAGTACAAGGAGACGCGTGGTCACGAACTGCATGAGGGTGATGGAACAGAGACCACGGCCTCTAGCTGAGATGTCCCAGAATATCTGAGACATCTGTACAGAGCTGGCAGAAGCCACGTAGGAGCTACAGGAGGTCTGTGTTGCAATGCAGGCCAGGCGTCTTGAGCACTCCAGTGTCTGAAAGGCCATGGGAAGCCTGGCGGCTGAGTTGCTCCCCTAAGCTGGGAGGCTATGGTGAAAATGTGATCCAGTCTCTGGCAATTTTTGTTTTCTTTTTTTTTTTTTTTTTTTGGTAGATAATCAATATTTTTTTTAACAGGAACACAACTCAGCTTGAATTGGGTTTTATTTCAGCATTTTTGGTTGCCTTTCTGCCTTTTGTTGTGGACAGAAATGGCTCTGTTCAGTAGTTACTGAGTCATCGTCTGTGAGAGGACATTTGAGCTCACTTGGACTATTTTAAAGCCTCAGTAACAATGCAGATGTCGCAGACCAAGGCTTCCTGCAGCACGCTGCTGTGAACCTGGAATAAGGGGATTTGCCTAGCTGATTTGCAGCAGGACGGTGTCCCCAGCTAGTTTAAAGGCTGTGGCTCCCTTTGTCCCCTCAGGGATGGATATTTGGTTTCTGCAGGGGAGGATGAATAGATAGATGGTCCTGGTTCTCCCTTCAATTCACAGAGAAGGGAGCAAGCAGGCAGCACCGATGGCCTCTTGGAGGCAGCTCACAAAACGTGGATGGCAGCTGCTACTTGCAGCCTCTCCTACTCACTGTCTCTCCTTCCCCTTCCTGCTCCTTTCCCTCATAAACATGACGAAAGGCGCTGCTCTGCCACAGCGGGAACATCTGGAGGCAGGACACTCCTGCAGAAATGGCACTGGAGGGGCCGGGGAAGGAAGGGGAGGGGACACTCGGTTTGACACTGTTTCTGTGTTGTTTTTCAGGGATTTGGGGGAAGAATGTTGTGTCTGATTTTGTGGATTGTCAAAATGAAGCCAGATGGCAGCGGATTAAGTGTAATACTGACTTGTTGTTCTTGGGTTCACGACTGTGCTTCCCCTGGAGCAAGGGAGCCCTCCCCACGCTGCAGCCCCAGCCCCATGCATCCCTGGCCACTACGTGCCCCTTCCCATGGGTTCCCAAATACCCTGCCCTGAAGGGGGGGAAGAGGGTAAGCTTTATTTTGGTGAGGGCTGCTAATTGGAAACTGCTTACTGAAGGTTTTTCATGCCTAGGTTACTCACCAAGAGCCTGTTTGCCCTGCTCCCCATTCAACGAAACACGGGCATTTTGCAACTGGAGCAATCGGTTTGCTTGCTTAAGCGAAGCTGCTGGCTGAGCAGCAGAGCCAGGGAAGCCTGGTTTCTTAGATTTGTGTCTGGTAGCTGGATTTCCTGGTGTTTAGAAAGGCGTGAGTTCAATGGAAGTGTTTCCCATGAGGCGTTCAAGTATTTCAAGCCCTTTGTTGATTCTCTGCTATCTAATAAGGGACGTATTTATGCCTCAACCTCCCTCTCCATGTGAGCACTTAATGGGGTCTCTTTTCTTTACTTCTGATGGGAACATAATATCTTTGAAACTGTTATCCTTTGTCGAAGGTAGGGCACTGGAAAAAGCCACAGAGCCTCTGAAGATGCAGTAGGGTGCAGAGAGGCAGGCACCGACAGAGAAAGGTGTGATCACCTCGACTTTGTGTCCCCAGGAAATCAGGTGAAGGATAAATTATTAATTAGAGAGAAGGTGTATTTAAACTTATGATGCTGATTATCATCCAGTCTCTTAATTAGAAGTAGACAGGCTGACAAATTTCCTTTAAAAGGGCTGTTCTTCCCTACACCACCTCCCCTGGCACAAACACTTCTTCTTTCCAAGGTAGCTTCTGTAGATGCAGGCCAGTGAGTTTGCACCCAGCCTATGAAAATGACAGCAAAAAATGCTGTGCATTTCTCCTCTCAGACTGCATCATCCTTTCAAGCATAAGCTTAATACTTTCCATTTAACTTACTCCTCTATGATCTTTCACTGCAATTTCAGATTAAAATAGTGAATTTTATTTTGTAAGGAGTCTGCACTTCTTCATGCAGACCAGCAAATGCCTGCTCCAAGTCTGCTGATACAGCCCTTGAGTCTGGGAAGCATTCTGACAAAAACCTGATGCCTTGGTAATTGAGGAAAAAACAGAATCCAAGTCAGTTTTGCTGCTTTGTTGTGCTCTGTCCCATTCTTCCCTAGGATAATTTCTCAGCTGTTCAGAGGTTTGTTTGAAGCCATTATCTGTGCTCCATAAGTGTTCCGAGCTTTTTAGACTGTTTTAACAAATCACTGTCCGCTATCTTCACAAAGAGTCACCCTCTCTGGGACGACTTTCATAAAGATGGGGGCAAACCCATCATTTTGAGTTGTTGTGCATTTTCTTGTGCAGAGAGGATCTCCTTCTGATGCTTAGCTTGCAGATTCTTGGATGTGCAGACCGGCTGCATAGCTTGCACAGCACAGTGAGCCCTGACAGTGGTTGACAAAAGAAACCTGGGGGGAGGAGGAGGCTGGAATTAGGACAGTGTTTGTTTTTATGGTGTATGTTGTTATAGTTTACAATATAGATAGCCGTAAGCCAGTCAAGATTTAATAAGTCATGACAATTTTATAGAGACTGGCTGTTACCAAGATGCTCAGAAAGACTTGGATCTCCTAATCTTCAGTTCAGTGACTTCAGAGATGATTTTTTCCTGATTCTTGAGGAGATACCCTAGTGGTATAAAGGAAATTTTTCAAAGAACTGGAGTCCTCGTACTCAGCTTGTAACCTCTGCATTTCA